CATGATACGGAATTGGTGTGGCTTATATACTTCAATTTCTAGAAGATATTAGAGAAGGTAATGCATAGATTGTTGAATGTGTTTAAGTGCTGGATTTGAAGAATTATCCATATACTTGGTATGTGGATAATTCTTCTCTCTTGTTCTTCTGTTACATTCATACAATTTCGAATTCATTATAACTTAGTTGGTATCGAATTACCATGCAATCATTTTAGAAATTTCAACGACAACCATGCAAGTTAGATGGTAAATTTTTTATAACAGAAGAACAACTCAGACAGGTGCAGAAGGTTAGGCAACAACTATCTGTTGATTTGACAAAACTTCGTGATGCACTTTACAAGTAAGACATAATTTTTGTTAATTTGGATTTTATTCAAATAATTAAACATCTTTTTTAATCATTTTTGAGTGTAATGATTGATGCGATTGTTGTATGTATCTGTTCGACAGATTCCATTAATATTCAAATAATTAAATTTTCTTTTGATTGTGAAAACCGTATAATAGATAATATGTGGTCATTTACTCCGTTACTTTTTGGTAGGAGGAAAGAAGAAGAGGAAGTCAGCTGGACAATAATATTCCTCGATTAATGATAGTATTATAGAAGGAAGGCTTTGTTTTCTTTTCTATCTCCTAGCCCATCTACTGTACATATAACAACATCTCAGGAAGTTTATATCATTTAGCTTGGATCTGAATACCTTACCGATAGAGCAGGTTGATTTAATTGCAAATATTGCACCAACTTCAATGGATGTGTTCTATTTGTTGGATTGTGAAAGTGCTAATCCTACTGCGGTAGTTGGGGAAAATGAACAATTTCTATTAAAGGTTAGAGTGTATTAAAAAAAAAAGAGAAAAGTCAACATTGAGATGAGTTAATTAATTAGTACGGAAGGCTAAAAAAAATTCCTATTCCAATCATACATAGGAATTGGCAATTGTCAGGCAAATATTTGAGTGCTATGAGATTAAATATAAGAAGATTTTGTTGGATTCTTCAGAAAACATGGTTAAGCTCTGATGGCAAGAGAATTGAGTTCTAAATTTCTTCATATATCTTGACAATCTTGACAAATTCAGCTTGCAAAAATCGATCGGATAGAAGAAAAGCTGCATGCGATGTCATTTATGGGACATATTAACAGTCGTGTCACGGAGATCCTGAAAGTTAGACCTTCTTTTTTTACTTTGAAATAACGCAAACTCAAACATTCCTTAATTAAATATCACTGCACATCTTCAGTGTACGCAAAGAAGAAGAAAAACAAGTTATTAGCTGCTTGTAAAAATCATTGGAAGAATTACAAATTTCTAGTTTATAAATCATTTCTATAATTTCTTTTCATATAATTCATTGATAAAAAAAAGATTACTTCAGTTTTACTTATATTGATTTACTCGTTTTAGAGTTTTGAAGATCTCACGAATATTATGAAGACTTTGAAGAAAAATCGTGGATTTCGTGCTTTGTTACGTGTCGTTCTTGTCTTCATGAATTTTATCATTGGAGATTTTACGGCTAGAACAATTCGAGGCTTTAAGGCATCAGATCTTACAAAAGTGATTTTTTTATTATTACAGTAAATTCTTTGAGTAGTCTTGGTAATATTCTTCTCTGTTTTTAAATTGTAAAATATTAATTCCACATTGATATTTTTAGTGCAACTATTTTGTAGATATGTGCCACTGAAGTGTGTAACTCACCAAAAACAACATTGCTAAATATTGTAGCATCGTCTACTATTTCGGAATTTCCTGAAGTTTGCGTCTTTCGTGATACTCTTCCGGCACTAGAGAAAGCATCACGAGGTTATTCACCAGCTTTTATTTATGACTAATCGGTTACGGTTGTTGATATAACATGCAACCATTCTTTCACTTATCAGTTTAATTGCATAATAATTATATCAACAATCGTAATCACATATGATTTTTTTATAATTGCATAAGATCTTTTATAATTAATTGGCTCTTATCTGATCATTCAATTTTGAGGACTGTTTGATGTTTTTTCCTGAATATACGACATTATCAGATTTTTTAAAAAGTTTATATTTTTAAAAGATTTGAATAAGATCGATCATAAATTATGGAAATGGAAGCAATGAAAAATGCAATGAATTTTCTTTTCAAAAAGAGCTAATATTATTTCAACCTAAAAATCATTTTTGGTTTTGTGATCAGTGAACTTCCAAGAACTTTCTGCAACAGTACGACGCTTCGAACGGGACTATTTGCGATTTGATCTAGAAGCGAGCCGTTTAAATAATAATGCACAAATGGCTGGATATAGAGAAGTAATTAGAAATAAAGTAATGGAAGTGAAGAGTAGCTATCGTGAATGCAAGGTTCTCGTTCTTTTACTTTTCGTTTTGTCTTTCGTTTTTTATTCAAAATAAGATATTAAAGAAGTATAAGTATGATATTGCAGACTGGCCTCTGCAAAACGATGCGTTTCTTTGGCGAATTGGTAGATGAAGATATTGGTCCCGAGATTCCGGAAACATTTTTCGCCAGTATTGCTACTTTCTATCGTCAGCTTCAACGGGCCTGGATTGATGTACATCTACATGGTATCTCAATGACCAACACCATTTGAATCTTTGAATTAAGATGTCTCATAATATATAATTTTACAAAACGAATGTAATACACATTGCTTCAAGATTATCAGTTTCGCTTATAATTATGGAAAGTATTTCCACTTCACACTCATAAGTAATTTTACAATAGCGATGATAATATATATATATATATATATATTTTGGTCAATTCAAACTTTTTTTTCTTTGTAAGAAAAGTATGATGTTTTATTAATGCATGTTTGCAAAATAGTGGAGTCACTATATGCTATAAAACGGATTATATTTGATTCATGTTATTGCCATATTTTTCGGTTTCGAGAAATTCATTCTATCATTCCTAAACTAAGTGCAACCCTTGACATTTAATTTTTTTTTTTTTTTTTTTTGGAGGATATAATTTCATTTACTTCTTGTATTATTATTATTATTACTTATTAATATTATTATTATTATGCATGTTTTGATTTCATCTTATACTTACCTCAAAGAATAACAGTGAAAAGAAATTTTTCTCAATTTCAAGCACTTTCAGTAGGAAATTTATCATATCACTTGACTGTGGCATTGATTATTCTATCACAATTATCATTGCTTTTAGTGCAACATCTAAACTGTTATTGTGTGAAAAATATTTTTAGTTATAATTTCTACTTTCTGCATCGTTACCGACTATTGTTCATTTTATGTTTTGATAAATCAGTTTGTTTTCTCATTCTCCTATTTTAGTAGGTTTTTATAACTGGATTGGGCTATCGTTCAGTACCAAATTCAGGTTAAATATAATATTTTGATTGTCATTTCCCGTAGACTAATCTGATATATACTGTCATTGATTAGTATAGGTTGAATCTCAGATGCTAAGATCGCTTCATATTATTAACTTAGTATATTGAGTTCAATATCGTTTAGCTATTATTAGCTTAGTATATTTGATGCGTTAGATATCACTTCTCGTTAATTGTTAAGTTAGTATATTAAATTAAATCTTTACGTTAACTATTACTGACTTAATATATGAGTCTGATATTTGCTTCACATTTATTAATTCAATTTCATACCCCTTTATTTGGGGGTATGAAGTTGGGTATGAAGTTTATTTGGAGTAACTCGGTGTTTTGCAATGATGTAATACTACTTGTTAATTAAATGATTAGTACAAGTACGACAAAAGTATACAGAGCTAAAGGATTTTGGAAATGTTTAAAGCAAGCTAAAATATGAATTAGTTAAAAATGATGCATTAATGTTTCCATTGTTTCGTAAAAGGCTTAACCTATTTAATGACTTTTTAAAATGTCTCAGAGTGTCATCTAGGCCTTACGTGTCACATGTATTATTATGTGACAATAAAAGTTTCGTTTAATTAGTAAAGTTATATGAGTGTTTAAAATGGATCATTGGATCACAAACGGAAGCAAAATTCCAGTGACTGAAATCATTCATCTTGCATTCAGAGAAGAGAGTTGGGAAGGCTCTGAACTCAGAAATGGATCGAGGGATGATGATTTCGACTGATTCAATCGATTTTGGTCAGCTCGATCGATATTCTTTCAAAGCCTTCTAATCAAAGAATGATCAGAAGATCAGCAAGCTTCATCATTAAATTGTGTGATGAAAAGATGACAAAAGTTAAAAAGCAGATTGAATCATTAACTATCATTTGGGTAAAAATAGAGAGAAATGATCTGTTCAATATTTTATTAGTGATATATGTTATTTTTCTATTCAACCAAATAGATTTATGCAAAACTTTTATAGCTAACATAAGACAAGAACTCGTATTCTAATGATCAATTTGAAAATGTTCAAGTATTTTGCATTTTAACTTTTTGCCATATAATTTGTTCATTAATATTAACTATTTTTAAACTATACTCGAATTAAACAGCCAATTTCTAAGTAGCATTAAATTAATCTTATTTATTTTATGATTAAACTTAATATGAAAATCATCGTAGTTCAGACATACGAATATACGACATTCAAAAACCTGATAAAAGTTTGATTGACAACAGTTTTTTGTAGACAGATAAAATTATTTAAAATTATTAATAATGAATTAACGGTAACAACGATTATTATTTGAAATCGATAATATTGCATATACAGCCCCATTTTTAATATCCATAATATGTTACTGTTATACAAGTCGATAGTAAATGATAAATGTTGCATTCAACACTATTGATGTGATAACAACGTATCGTTTATTGCTCATTAGAATGTAGGAGATAATTATGTGATGATATCGTTATGTGATTGATATGTGATATAATTGAAAATGAATTTGAAATAGTTAAAATTAATCATTTCAAGCTTTTAGGCTTCTCTATTATTTCCTATAATAACTGATACGTCAAAATCAGCTCTATTTGCAAACTGATAATTTGAATAATCGCTGTGATGAGTAAGAAGCGAGTGAAGATACCACCAGAGAACTTTCAGAATAACTCGTCTCAAGCAACAACTAATAATGTCGTCGTCTCATTTGGAACTGCAACTAATAGTGACATTTACTTTTATGGATTCAATTCTAATGCTTCAACAAGAAACAATGCATTGTCGTTTCGAACAGGAACCAATGGCAACACTGATCCATGCGGATCCGGTTCTAATGTTTCAACAGGAAATGATATATTCTCGTCTAAAAAAACTACAATCACTGACAATTCCAAAAACTTCCAAAAGGAATACATTGTTTCAAGAACTACAACCAATGACAACATTGATCCATGCGGATCCGGTTCTAATGCTTCAACAAGAAACAATGCTGATTTACTGTCAAATACTACGCAGACAATCAACTTGTGCACCTCTTCTAATCAAATTATTACTTTTTTTTTTGCAATTCTTTGCGTTGGTTCAGAAATTAATAAACGAACAAAGAAAACTACGTCAGCAAATATTGCAGCAAGTTATCGCACAAGAATTAAGGGCATTATCCCAACAATTTAATGAGCAGCAACAAAAAAGGCCTAGAAGTATCCACGTAAGTGAAGTTCCTTGAATTTTCGAAATTTATTCAATAGAATCGATTATAATTATAAGCTTGGACAAATGAATCGTCGAATTCATTTCATATTTTAGCTAAATTTGAGGAAAATATTCAAGAAAGGTTAAGAAAGTAGAATGACGTCGGCATATTATTTATGCATTTAGTTTGCTTACAAAGCTTATAACGGAAAAGACAAAGAAAATTAAGATTGACGAATAAGTTTTTGTTACAATTAACTTATTTTTTTCTATTCCTACTAATTAAATAAACTTTTGTTTCATTAATCAAAAACTGATTCTTAATTGTACTAAATTGTTATAGTAACAAAGAAAATTCTTTCTTAGTCAAATTTATTTGAAAATTCATTTTTATTTCAGACTTGTGACTTATGCAAAAAAGAAGTGCATAGTTCGAAGTTACCTTGTCATGTACGAATGGCCCATCTGAAGATACCAATATATTTCTGTACAAAATGCAATAAAAGCTCAAATTATTCAATGAATAATATCAAAACTCACATGACAAGAATACATAAAATAGTAGATGTTCGTTTTTAATTCATTTTATAGTTTTTAAATATTTTCATTAATATCAGTACTAATTTACTCATGAAATGTTCAACTTTTCATTCCCTTTTACGTATATCATTTTGGAAGATTGAAGATTCTTTCTTGTCATTTTAATCTACAAATAACAAAAACTAATGTTACAAAAAAGATTGAACGATAATCATTTTGTTTTCCAGCCTCAGCCAATCGATTATACACATTTGCATGCTTTAAAAGTACGAAGATTAATGAAGAAGTGCTTCCCAAAAGTAAAAAGTCGAAGTGTGCTTTAAACAACTTCGGTTATTTTCCTATAATAGACATGGCTGAATCAGACGACAGCGATTAGTTTTCTAAACCAATGAAAAGCTTTAAAAACAGGAAAAAAGTTATTGCGATAATTCTCATCAAAATAGCCAAATATTAGACCATCGCTCGAAAGGTCATTTCAGATAAAAATCAGCTTCGAAAAATGAGAGCACTTCTCTTTTCATTTACGAATCCTTAATTCGCTGAACGTATGAAAAGGAAATATGATGACCTGCTTAATAGCCTGCTCAAAAATCATAGGAACAGAATAGCAATCCAAAAAAGATCTTTTTTTTTTTTTTTGAAACCTGATTTGTTTAAAATACTGAACGATATAGTAAAAAGAATGTTCGGTATAAAGTTCCAACAATATAAAAAATGTGTAAGAAATGCTATATGATATACATGTAATTAAAATTAATTGCCTAAAAAGCCATTCGTTATTCGCAGCTATTTTTCAATAATGCAAATTAGTAGCAGAGCAGAAGCTTAGCGATATTTTGAGATAGAATTCATTATGTTATGATATCTTCACTATCATCCATTCATTTATCCTCTACCGACAAATGGTGCAAAAGATGACATTAAAATCTGAACCATCTCATCTTTATTTTTTTTATCGAGACGTAATCGCTTTATTTATTTTAGGTTGTTTAGATCATAATTCAAAATGAAGAATAGCCAGTCACTAACCCGAATCCAAATATTTCTCATTACTAGCAATACATTACGAATTCAGATACACTTCAGGATTGATTAAATGATAAATCGAACAATGTGTATGAAAAATTTTAAATCCATTTTTCCAATCTTTTTCACACTTTGTCCATATTTTTGTTTTATTTTTTCAAATTCATTAATCTTTTGTCAACTGTTTTTTGTTATAAAGCGTGATAAATATTTTATTATTTCTCTCAGTATATATTTTGTGTATTATTATTATATGTTGAGATTCCTTTGCTAGTTGGGGAGAAAATCATGCGGAATCCGTAAAAAATCGAGTAATTAGTAAATAAATATAAGTATACTTTCTTCTCTCAATAATTTGAAATTTATGTATTTTCGCATTTATGATTTTTATCATTATATATGTTTATAATAATTTCGACAATTAAAAAATCTATTGTACATTATGATAATCTCGTTAATTCCATTTTAGATATCGATTAATCTAATAGATGATAGATTACCTAGTGATAAGTTATCTGTAATTCTATGCTGGTGATAATTTGGTGATCATTTTATGCTAGTGACAAGTTAATGATCGCTCCAGATTAGATTACCTTGAGCATTTATTACTACAAAAATACAGTAACCTTAATTTAGCGATTTTCATTTTTTTCTTTTTTTTTTTTTTTGAATCACTAATTTAAATTAACTCAATGGTGTAATGAAATGAAGGCATCAATGTTAAATTTTGATAGACTGATAAAAGGAATTTTTGATTACTGTCACTCTAATTTTCACCTATTATTACTTCAACTTCTCATTGAGTATTAGTCCGACTTCTCATTTACTATTACACCAACTTTTCATTGACTACCATTTCACTTTTTAATGCCTTTGCTTCATTTATTGCCATCCATAAATATGCAGGGAAGGGTATTTTTTACATCAAAAACTGACTAATCTAGTGTGTATTTCTGTGTGTGCTAAATTAATCAGCTTTTACCTTAATTTTTCTTTTCTTTTTAAGTGATATTTGATGTTGATCTTCAAATTTATTATTTCATTACACTTTCAAATTCAGCCATTTCAATTATTTTCTACATTTAAATTTATTTATTCATAAATGTTCTTGTTGAGTTACGAATTTACTTAATAAAAAGTGTTCGAAAAAAAATACTTCAACATAACATAAAGGCGCTTTATAATTATTATGGGAGAACTAATTCATGGATAAAATTATGTTACTGATTGAATCATAAAATCATTAAAATTTTTTATACTTGACGAAGTCAGACTATTTGTCTCCATCGTAAATAATGTTCTGAAGGAGTAATGATAATATATATATATATATATATATATATATATATATATATATATATATATATATATATATATATATATATATATATATATATATACCTAAAACTAGCCTAAATATGAGATTTCTAAGATAATTAAATTTCTCTGGGATATGTAATGTTTGTGCACAATTCATCTAGCCTAGCACTAGATGCTGGGCTATTTAAAAAGAAATGAGTAGTCTTTCAATGTGAGGGATGAATATTGCCTAGTCAGTAGATGAGGGGAAGAGAAAGCCTAGTGGGGTATGATTTTTTTTCTATTACAATTCAAATACTTTTAATCATTTCTTAATTATTTCAATCATGAAGTGCTACTTATTTGTAACATTCTTTTCTGCCTTCTACAAAATATTTCTCATTTGTCCTACATTTTTAGCTCATTTTCACATGGGTTTTGGCGACGAACCAAATCAAACATTAACATGATTGCATTCAGTATTAAAATAGGAGTTAGAGTGAATATTAAATCCAAGTATACAAACACTAGATTTTAAATTCGAAATTTAATTGCATTACAATTTTATAATAATTAAACAAATGATTGGATTGATTATTGAATTGTTAATAATCAATGGATTCTATTAATGGAATAAATTGCACAAAGTTTTTTTATAATTTCAATCTAACATTGATTCAAATTCTTCATTTTACTATCAAACTTTCACATTCCTTTCAATAACGTTTTGTGCTAAATACAAGTAACTTTTGCTATTTTGATACTGTTTTATCATATCACTATAATATCAAATTGCTTACATATCGGTTAATTAACTATCATCTATCATTTCAGATAGTTTACAGTTTGATAGATGCAGACGAAAATGCAAATTATAGTGAATCGGTTGAAATCTTTTTTACTGAATCAACCATTCGAGCATATCACAGTGATATGCCCTTATCATCTCAAAAGTTATCAACCAGTCTGCGAATCGGTTTCTATAATAACTGTTATTATGAAACAGCACGAAGTGATAAGACGAAAAGGTTTCGCATCAAAGGAATTAAAATTAATCTAATTGTCATTGATATACAATCAGTAATTAATTAGCATTGTATTGTGACGTAAATTTGACGTTTTTGTTATTGAATTGCTAAAACAACAAGCTACTTCTCTGTTAATTTGCTAATACAAACAGATTCTGATATCAATTTATACATTAATTTAGTAGTTTTAAATTTTATTTTCTTTATTTTATTCGTTTCGATCATTCCTTTAATTTAATCACTTAATTTTTTTTGTTATTGAATTGCTAAAACAACAAGCTACTGCTCTGTTAATTTTGATTGCTTAAATGAATTCCTTAGAAAATGGAAATTTGCCGACTGAAGAAGTATCATTTATGCAAACTTTGATAAATATTATTCTTAATGTATTTACTGTTAATACATTATATATCAATATAACAATTTCCTTGAGAAAAATTGCTAAATTCAAATCGAAAATTATTTACATTTTTAGCAATGACAACACGATGTGCTGTTAGCCGGAAACGGTTTGAACAAATTTCTCATACGGTTAAGCCGATTAAATGTTGCGTGTAAAACAACTGAGCAAATTGAGAAAAAAGTTTTATCGCGAAATTTTCTCGAAAGTAATGTTTTAAAATTGACAATGTATTGGCCAAAAATGAATAAAATATTGGATGCTAAAATATGCTAAAATATCTAAAAAGTATACCGAAAAGAAAAAATAAATATAAATTAAATGATAACATTTAGGAAATTTTAATACGATAAATTTGAATTGCCTGAACAAAAATTTTTTTGCACAAATATTCAAAAAAAAATCTAAAATTCTTTTCAATTTTTTTAAAAATAAAAAAAAAAATTAGCACGAAAAACTGATTCAAATTGATTTTGAAAGAAGTAGAAAATATTAGCAAAGTTTATTAATAATTTTTTTCAAATTTTTGAAGAAGGTAAAAATTTTTTGATTTTGGGCAAAAAAGTGTAAAAGTAAAAGGAATTCCCAACTTTACATTTTTTTTGCTTTACAGAAATATTCAAAAAAAAAAATACCTGAAATTATTTTTAGTTCTTAAAAATTAAAAAATTAGCACGAAAAAGTAGGAAATATTAGCAAAGTTTATTGAATAATTTTTGAGATATCTCAATTTTTTCAAATTTTTGAAGAGGGTAAAAATTTTTTTTTAAATTTTCGAAAACGGCAAAAATTTTTTGATTTTGGGCAAAAAGTGTAAAAGTAAAAAAAATTCCAACTTTATATTTTTTTTTTGTTTTACAGAAATATTCAAAAAAAAATACCTGAAATTCTCTGTAGTTTCTAAAAATTAAAAAATTAGCACGAAAAAGTAGAAAATATTAGCAAATTTTATTGATTAATTTTTGAGATATCTCAATTTTTTCAAATTTTTGAAGAAGGTAAAAATTTTTTGATTTTGGGCAAAAAAGTGCAAAAGTAAAAGGAATTCCAACTTTAAATTTTTTTTGTTTTACAGAAATATTAAAAAAAATTGAGATATCTCAAAAATTAATCAATAAAATTTGCTAATATTTTCTACTTTTTTCGGAATCAGTTTAAATCGCTTTTTCGTGCTAAATTTTTTTACAAAAGTGCTATTTCTTTTAATTGCAAAAAACTACAGAGAATTTCAGATTTTTTTTTGAATATTTCTGTAAAAGAAAAAAAATGTAAAGTTGGAATTCCTTTTACTTTTACACATTTTTGCCCAAAATCAAAAAATTTTTGCCGTTTTCGAAAATTTAAAAAAATATTTGGAAAAATTTTTATTAAAAAAAATTTTTACCCTCTTCAAAAATTTGAAAAAATTGAGATATCTCAAAAATTAATCAAAAATTTGCTAATATTTTCTACTTTTTTCGGAATCAGTTAAATCGCTTTTTTGTGCTAAATTTTTTTGCAAAAGTGCTATTTCTTTTGATTGCAAAAAGCTACAGAGAATTTCAGATTTTTTTTTGAATATTTCTGTAAAACAAAAAAAATGTAAAGTTGGAATTCCTTTTACTTTTACACTTTTTTGCCCAA